TAATATAATAATTAATATAAGCTGAAATATTATTATTATTATTATTATTATTATTATTATTATTATTATTATTATTATTATAATAATAAGGTCGCGGTATTTTTATTTCTATTAAAGATAAAATAAAAATAAAAATAAAATAATAAATATATATTAATTTAGTATTTTGATTAAAAAATATTATTTTTTTAATTTTTTAAAATAAAAAAATATAATGATATCAAAAAGAGTATTTCTTTATATATAAACAAAATTTAATAATGTCGACATATATTAAAATATTTAATAATTAAAATGTTATTTAATATAAATATTTTTAAAATATGAAAATTTAATTTAACTATATTATTTACTAGTTATTTATATTATTAATTAATCTATGTTTATATCTATAATTTATATAAATAAAGGTGATAGTATTATATAGTATATATATTTTTTAGATGATTCTATCTTTAAATTTTTAAATAGTATAAATAATATCAAAAATTAATTATCATTATAAACACAAGACTCATGTATTAAGCTGACTTCTGAATGGACAATTGTTTTAAACTATCTCCTTCAAGTTTTTATGTAAAAATTGTATATGGACAAGGTTAAGACATATATGTATAAAATAATCAACCGAATAAAGTACAAGGTCGAAGGCTTAATCCCTAGTTAAGAACTAGAATGACGTAATATTTGAAAAGTAATCGATAGACTAATTCCATAGGAAAATTAGTGTTACAAGCTAATGTCGTGGTATGTTTATACTCAAATTATTTGATCTTAACAAAAATATTAGACTTTGTAGTTTAAAGCTTAAGAAATCAAAAAATGTAGTTTTATATTTGACACTCTATGAGACTTGAACCTATCTATACTTGACCTGGTTGTAATAGATTTTGTAATTTGATGGGGTTTAACCACTTAAATTGCTCACATATATTGTATGAAATCTTCGTAATTGATATATGTGACGATACATTAGTTGCTTATTGTTATCTATGTAGATGATGCTATGTTGAAGTTGTTTAAAGATGTGATGTGTTGTAAGTTGTATGTGGTAATTTGATGATGAGTTGAAGTTGTGTTGTTTAAATGATTGTTGTTATTTAAGTTGCTTATGTTACTACTTTAAGTTGTTGTACATGTTGAATTATTTTACGAGCTTACCATGTGTTTTTCTTATGATTTAAACCGTTACGATCATACTTGGTATGAAAATAAGACATGATTAACAAGAGGGCTTGGTTAGCCGATGGAGGGTCACATTGAAAGTGGCTTGATTTTGTTAATGTTACTTTGATGTAGTATTTTACTGTATAGACACTTGATCGATGATTAAGGTTATTTTGTGTATAGTTATGTAAGTGATGTAGAATATATGTATGTAGGGTATGTATGCAACTAGGGGTGGGTAGACAGACCCAAGTCCGCGGACTGGTCCGTAAGTCTGCGGATTTCACGGATAACGAACCCATTTTTTTCAAATTCTTATAACTATGTCTAATTTTTTAGCCCAGCTCGTGAAGTTCGCAAACTTGGCGGATTTAATTCGCGGGCTCGCAGGCTAGTCCGCGGACTTCACTAATTAATATTTTTAAATATTATGATTTTAATATTAAGTTGTGTATTTAATTTTTTAAATTATGATGACATTAAAATTATGTTTAGTTGGTATGTATTTGTCAATTGAATTACTTTTATGACATTTTGATGCTTTTATTATTGAAAGTTTGGTACTATTATTTAAGTATTTATAATTATTTTTATTTTAATATTTTAATATTTAGTATTTTAAACCATTTTAACTATTGATAAATTTTAGTATGATAAAATTTAGCTTATAAATAAAAAATATTTTTTTTCTTCTAATTTATTAGGCCCGTGGACCGGTCCGTTATCTGCGAATTTTGACGGGCCGGATACGGACTTAAAAAATAAGTCCATTTATTTTACGCACCGGACTTATCCCGCCCGTATAAAATGCGAGTTTTACGGACCGGGCCTTAAACGGGCCGGACCGGTCCGTATACCCACCCCTATGTGCAACCCCGTAAGGGGATTTATGATTACAATTGTTTTATTTACTATCTTACACATTTATAAATTGCATGATTGACTAGGAACCTGTTGCATGATAATACTAGGTTAGTTGATTATTGTTTAACCTTTTTATTGTGTAACAACTAAATTATAGTAAGTGTAATGACATGTCAGATCGTTACAATATGTTACTTTTATATTTAATTTGTGTTTTTTTAATTTTAAAATATATTATTTCTTATAGTTAAATGTTAATGTTCTTTTAGTTCTATTTATATAATATATATTTTATAAAATTAAACTTTTGCTTTATTTTTTATTTTTTTAGGCCTCGTCAACACTAAAATTATTTAACAGAAAATTATCAACATTTTATAATTTTTTCATTGTTTATAAAGAAATTAAATATTTTAAAAGTACTTTGTATATTTATATAGAAAAAATTAACACTCTACTTTTACATATTTGTCTTTGATTTATCTTGTTCAAAAATTTGAAACTCTACTGATATACTCTTCTACAAAAGCAACATCAACTAACACTAAACCAACATTTACTTTAAAAAAAATATGTAAATAAAATAAAAAATAAAAACTAACATTTGTGATTGAGGAACTAGCTAGGCACAAACTTTCACCACCATCCAATAGGAGAGTGATGATGAAGAAAGTGTACGAGGATTGATCAATCTCAATATTATTTATTATCAAGTAACCTCAATATTTTTTTTTATCAAATCATTCATGCGTTCTTATTTTATTTAGAATTTATATATTTCATGAAGTATAAATGTTGTTTATGCTTGTAATTAATTGAGTAATTTAATTCACTTTTTAAATATATTTTTATTGTTGAATATGGTGTTAAAAACGTTTTTTTTAATAAAAGATTGGGATTCGATATTTGTCTATGAAATTTTGACTAAAATATCATTTTACTTCTATAGAGTGAATCAAGTAGAAAATAATTATGTTTTTATAAAAAATAATTTTTAGATTTAAAATTTTGTAATTCTCTAAATTTTATGTTTCGTAACTATTAAACAATATAATAAATATAAATTAAAATAACAAGCTCAAATTTTGAAAATAGTAACAAGCTTGCATCGCACATAGGGACGGATCTAGGTATGATAGAGTGGGGGCACATGCCCCCACTACCAATTTACACATACATGATATATATATAAATTATCGTATGTATAAAATAAAATTTACAGTATGTATGTTTACTTTTTGTACTTTTTGTTTATTATATATGTTGACCAAACAAAATCAAAATAGGAAAGATTGGAAGTTTTATGTTTTATTTAAAAAATTTGTTATTAAATATGTTTTAAAATAAATTATTACCTAAAAATTTATATCACATATTCAAAACATGTTTACATCATAAATAAGTTAAACTTGATTCTTATAAAATTCAACAAATTTATTTTTATATTTTTATTAATATTAAATTATTATAAAATAGGTCTTTAAGATTGTAGTTCTAATTAAATATTTAAAAAATATTATGACGGATAAATATATCATATTTAAGACGTGTATTTTTAAATAAAATTAGGTTCAAACCTATTAAATTATAATATAACATAGTCTGACCTTATTTATTTTCATCCTTAACCATTATTGTAGATATAAAAAGTTGTAAAAAATAATTATAATATATTTATACTTTTAAAAATTATATGTAAAATTTTTTAAACTATAAATATATAAATAAATATTGCTCCCACTATCTAAAATGTCTAGATCCGTCACTGATCGCACATGTAAAAATCACTTTAAATTAAGGTATTTCAAAATAATCACTTTTAGACCTACACAAATGTAAATAGTTATCATGTTGCTATCATGTTTCTATTTATTCCAATTTAATCCTTAACTATTTAAAATGTTTTTTAATTGAAAATTATAATTACTTCAATTTAAAAATCTACTATATATTCAGTATTCGCACAAACCAAAGAAAGGTTAAAATAGGATGCTTTTTTTTTTCGAACTGCAAATAGGACGTTCTGTAAGAACCATTCGTTTCCTTGGAGCCATTAATTCTTGACATTTTACTTCAAAGGTATGCGAATGTGTGTAATAATAAAATAAATGAACAAAATGAGAGCATATTGAAGTTTAGGCAAGTTTTTCTTAGGATCGCTCAACAAACAATTGATTCTTGATTTAATTTGGTTTAAGGATATCAATCAAATATAATTTATTTTTGGGTAAGCCAATTAAAAAAATAATTTTGAGTAAGATGTCGGCTTAAGAAATGTAAAACCAAATGTCCTTTTCTAAAGAGTATGGTAGTTGACCAACTTCATTTTTTATATTATATATTTTATTTTATTTTATTTTTGTGTTGGAGCGGAATGCAATATTTTTTATTTAAATATTATAAAATATATATAAATTTATTAAAATATCATATCTTAAAATATATTTATTAAAGTGATATGTTTATTATTTATGTTAAAAGTTTGATCTTCCACTAATCAATTTCTCATCTAAATTTTTCAATTGTTTTTTATGTATGCATTGAGAAATTGTTTAACATAAAACCAATTTCTCAATTGTAGTTTTTTTTTTGTTTATTTTATAACTTTTTTTATAATATTATTATTTTTAAATATATATTTTTCTATTTAATTTATTAACTTGAAAAATTAGTTAATATATAAATAAATTCATAATTTTTTATAACAATATATTTGTTTCTATTATAAATAATATTTTAATAATGATTAATAAATTTTGTAATAAGTGTGTTTGATAATTTATTAGAAGAAAGTGAAAATATTATTTTTATAAATATTTTTAATGTATTATAATCAGTAAAAATAAGATTTCAAATAATATATGAAATTGTTAAAATTGACTTTAAATCAAAATAACATGATTACCAAAATGAAAGGTGCAAAAATAGAAATATAAATAGTTATTCTTGACCGGAAGTTTACACACCATAAAGACATTTTTTGTTAGTATGACCATGATTCATACACATAAAACATCTTTTCAATTGGTTCTTGCGTATCCATCTATATGCGCATACACGAGGATTTTGGACAACTTTTTTTTATTTATTTTCATGTCCAAATTGAAGCAGGTTTATATTATGGTCAATATTGTTCATTGTGTAACTCTCCAAGCAATCCTTTGTTCACATTGTAAATGTATTTCAATGTGTAAACAAAATATATGTAAGATGTGTAAACATGGTGAACACGTTTGTTTACAAGCAGTACTAACATGTGAGCAAAGCATGTGTAATTTTTGAAATTTATCACAATCACACCACATTTCATCCAGACTAATTGTGAATTGTCTAAATAATTATCCCTCTCTTGGGTTAAATGTCTCTTGTATGAGGAAACACATATCGGATTTGTTAAACTTAAGCACATGGTGAGAGTTTGTCTTTGTTTGTGCATTAGCTAAGGTCTTGTTTAATATTTCTAAGTATATATGTATGCATCTCAATTTAGTCGTGACTCTTCTCCCTCTTTGATTGAATAAGTTGTTACACATTTGGTAAGTCGACACAATCAATGCTCTGATTGGTAGTTTTTTATTTTTCTATGTACTAAGTTGACTGTCTCTACTAGATTTGTGGACATATGCTCCTTTCATCAACCTTATCAAGAGTTTATTTATCTTGTGAGATTTGATCAAGTCATTCAATAACATTTTTACTCTCTGATTCTGCCCTCAGGTTATTATAGTTGTAATTGCATGTAGACTCATTCATGTCATACGCTAGGGAATTTAGACCATATAAAATCATTAAGTTGAAAAATAGTTGATGAAACTAATTATTTTGATTGCAAGAATAAAGAAAAAATGCTAACCCATGTTAATGACTTATTTTCTTCTACTCGCGTTTTTGAATTGTCTCGTGAAATTTTATACAATATATCGAATACCAAACACATGCACAAAATTCTCTAATGTCCACCCACTATTAGTTTTGTGTATGCACTCTTATTTGACTCGTGCTTATATAATATCAAGTAAAGACCATTTTGGTACTAGTGGACACATACACAGTTAATTATTGTCTATATATGAGTTTGATTTCAAAGAATGTGTGAAAGTTAATTATCTATATTTTTTTATTTTAAATTATGTGTATTTGTGTTATGAAATTCATTTTGAAGCACATGTTTAAATTAATCTTTTTTTTTTTTACAATGTATTTGATCTTTTAATATTTTGTTTTCAGTGATGTATATATATTCTTTAATTTGTATTGTATAATAAACTTATACATCTTTAAATTATTTACGATCTCTTCTTACAAAACTTTAAATTTACAAGAAAAAAATATGAATTTATTTATATATTAACTAATTTTTCAAACTAATAAACTAAATAAAAAATATATATCATAAAAATAACAATATTATAAAAATTAAAGAAAAAAATAAAAACAAAAAATAATTGCACTTAAGAAATTGATTAATTGCTTAACCAATTTCTAAATGCATAAATAAAAAAATTAAAAAATTTAAGTGAGAAATTGGTTAATGAAAGATCAAATTCTCACCATGAATAATAAACATAATACTTTAATAAATAAATTAGGACATAATATTTTGATAAATGTATTTATTTTATTTATAATATTTAAACAAAAAAGTCCGGAATACAGAGCAAAAAGAAGAAAGAAAAGAAAATACAAACGTGAGAAAGGTAAAGAATGGGATAGGGATATTAATTTGGTTAACCCCTTGTTTAAGCGTGATCAACCCCTACCGCTGAACCACACGCTTGGGGTTAGAGATATTAATTTGGTTAATCCTTGACTTTGGTTTAAAAAATATCAAATTGAATTTATGATAATAAGCTTACCCATGGAATCACCCCAACCCCATTGTACTTCCTTTCTCCCAACCAACCTACCAAACATCGATAATGAATACAAATATATAATTTACAAGTAATCTTTTTTCCTTTTGGTTTTCTTTCCACTCAAAAATACCATGCCATCATGCGTATAACAATTATTCACCAACTCACCGGCTAGTGATAAACTAATATGAAACTCACTAAAATTTATAATTTTTAATAAATTTTAATAAATAATAAAGAAAATATAAGAAAAAGTGTCTTTAATCATAAATATTTACTAGGAGAACAAATCTTAGATACAATATCAATATTAGCATTATTTTTCAATCATAATTAAAATTTTAAATTGATAATAGATATTGATATTGAATAAAATTATTTATTATAGATATTATCAAAATAATAGTCTAATTATATATCATCGAAGAACAACATCTTCAATACTTATATAAGTTTTGTCTCCGTTGGAATCATATCAAATCCTTTGAACTGTGTTAGAAGATTGAGTAAGTGCCCTGGAAAAATTATTAAAAAAAAAAAAAAAAAAAGCCTAAAATCTACTTAACCATTGAAGTCATTTGTTGGAAAACTAATTCTGTTTAAAAGCAGAGGATTGTTTGTAAGCAAACAATGATAAGAATAACAACAGGATTGCGAAAGTACACATAACAGAAGCCTCACTAAAGGGAAACACCAATACTGTACATGGCTTAATCCAACCGACCCATCACATAGAGAAAATAAACGATGAACAACAAAATAAATATAATTAATTTCATTTCACCCCTCCAAGAAGATCTTTCAGAAGCCAATAATAAGCAACAAATTATATGACATATAAACAAAAGCTTTGATGAAGCGAATGATTAATCTGGTAGATATGCAAAAGCAGAAATTAAAATACAAGTAGCAATTAACTACCAACCATAAACCACTTGAGAATACTTGTTCTTGAGCCACCTGAAGCTGTTTCTGAAGGATCCTTTGATCTTACCTTCGACAGAATACATTTTGTAGCTGGCAACCCTCTTCTTCCTCTGAAGCTCAGGATCAGCGATGCTCCAAGACTTTGACAAAGAAGACCCTGCTGAAATGCTTTTCCCTTTCTTCAACTTCAAGTCCCTAGGACTAGGACCCATATGAGCATGTGAATACGAAGCACTATAACTTCTCAGATCATAGGGCCTAGGAGCTCCATAGTAGCTCTCAATCTGCATCATTTGCCCATGTGCATAGGACCTTGATCTTTGAAAGTCCTCCATGGGAATTTGGAACAACAAGAACAAGAATCAAAGGCTTGTCTCTCTTCAACTCTTAACCTTTCTTTTATTTATTTAGAAAATTTGAGGGACAGAGGTGACGTGGGGTCCAACAAAGACTGGGAGCTTTGGTCTACGATGGCTTTGGTTTTGGCTTCGTTTTACTTTCAATTTAAAAGTACCTTTCTCCATCCACTATTAAATTCCATCCGCTGTTACTGACTTATGGGGAGAATTCATATATTCATTGTTAGGTCGCGTGTTTAGTGCGGAATCACAATTTTCTAAGACTTATTATACTTTTATACATCTAATTCCTCTTTTATATTTTTTAATTGGAAATTTAGCATATACCATGGTGAGAAACAAGTCGTTACTCTAAGTTGTATTAGGTTTTCAATCTTTTTAATCAAGAATTTGTCTTTTACTCTCTTTGCTAGAAGATATGATTAAGAGGAGAGATTCATTATAAAAAAAATTGTGAAAAATTAATCATCAATAAAACTGAAATACTTCATATTGATTGGTTATAAGAAAATGATAGGATAAAAATATATATATATATATATAATATTAAGGAAATGTTTTTAATTATAAAACATTCATGTATCATTTTTCTTTTTCATTGCATATTTTATCAAGTTTATTTTTTATTTTTATTTTCTTTTTACTTAACCAAAAAACAAATGAGGTGTACCCTTGGAATTTTCCATTCTCTAATGTTTAGTGCTTACGCTTTTAAAATTCTTGAGGATTTGCTTTTGACCCGGACAAAGGATGATCCTTTTTCAATGGCCCACGACAACAACAGAGATATTACGACTTTTTATTATTTATTTTTTCCACGGCCCCTTTTGAAGAATGAAATTTTCAACTTCGTACCTCATTAGTGATTAATATTTCTTATAATTATAGAACATTTTTTTTATATTTCCTATATGTGGAGAAAGTTATTTTATCTTAAATACTATAATTTACATTAGGATGACCATTTACTCATATTAAATATTTTTTTAACTTGTTATAATAAAGTCAATTTCATTTAATAACACAATGTTCAAATACATGCTTAAATGATATTATAACCTACGTTAACAGTAATTCAATTTTTATTGTGTTATTATTGTGATATATTAGTTACTCTAGGTCACTAGGTATGGTCTAATGAAAACAGATTTAATTAGACAATTTGTATCGAATATCATTTTTTAATGACACGATCATTATCATTATCTATACAAAGAAATAAAGATAGATTACTACTACAACGTAAAATTATTTTACGGTCATCTAATTACAAACTTTTTTTAATTCATTATCTACTCACAAATTTTCATGGCCTCTAAACTTATCAACTTTGATTATTGTAAAAGTCATAAAAATAATTTTAATTCATTATTAAAGTAATTCTTTTATACTAAAAGTATGTTCTTATTAAACCTATTTGAACATTACATTAAATTTTGAATAGTTTAATAGTTTTGTTTGATTAAAATTGAGTGAATTTATTTAACAAAAATAAATTTCTTTCAATATTTTTTAATTTAGAAAATCAAATTAAAGATGACTAAATAATAATCATTACTTATTTTATGATTTTTTTTCTATTTACCATAGGTATCAAATACGATATATATATATATATATA